AAGGTCGCAAAGTTCAAGGGGGCCGAATACTTTCGCAAGGCACTGTAAATGTTATATCCAGCAGCAACATAAGATGGAAAAATAAGATTTTAGTAGTAATATTTTACAGAGAAGAAGGACAGTGCAGAAATATAAAATTCAATGTTCAACATACTTGGCCAATAAACCTGATTCTGATTCTTACAGACAAGATATATTACACACTACGATATTAAATTCGACAAAACCCACCTTCTTTAGCTCCTCTCGTGTCATGTTGCTCATCTGCAGCGTGGTCCAGTACTTGTCCAGCAGCACTGCATGAGAGTTCTGTGGTTTGTGCCAACTGCCACCACTGTAATATGTCCTGCCAAACACAAGCATGACTTACTGTTATTTGTTACTTATAGTATGTCTTTGCAGTTTTTGTATCTTTCCACAGCAGAAAATCCAATGATCCCAATTTATAGAGTGACTGGCCAGCTGTGTGGTGCGACAGGAGAGATGGTTTGAATTTCTCTCTCAAGCTCTTTCTCATTTATTACAGAACTACATCTTTCACTTCTACAAATGCATGTGCACTATGGTTCTTGCATGTGGCTGGTTGATTCTAGACTAAAAAGTGCATGAAAGGCACTGTGTTTTTTGACAGAATTTTGGGAAACAGGAGGAGGCATCTAAGTGGAGGATGTGATGGCAGAATTTTCAACTGTGGCCATTAAGAACACAAACACTTTTACATTTAAACATACTGAGACAATCGTAGGCGACCCTGTGGTATTAATAACAGTAACACTGAACATAGCCTAAATATCACAAACGTGACTGCATTTATATAATATCTTGCCGTGTGAGTGGTGCAAGAAGAAACTTCAAAAAGCTGACAATCACATCACTACAGTACATATACAGTGCTCAGCATTAATGAGTACACCCCTTTTGAAAAGTAAGATTTTAATCAATATCTCAATGAATTAAAGAACAATTTCCAAAATATTAACAAAACTGAGTTGTATAGAACATTTGTTTAGCTCAATACATGAAAGTAATGTTAATAATATAATTAAGATTATAAAATCAGAAATGAATACACCCCACAACAAAAACTACTACATCTAGTATTTTGTATGACCTCCATGATTTGTAAGAACAGCACCAAGTCTTCTAGGTATGGTTTGAACAAGTTGGTGATGTATTGCAACATCTACTTTTTTCGTTCTTCAAGAACGACTTCTTTTAGAGCCTGGATGCTGGATGGAGAGTGATGCTCAACGTGTCTCTTCAGAATTCCCCATAGGTGTTCGATTGGGTTCAGATCAGGAGACGTACTTGGCCACTGAATCACTTTCACCCTGTTCTTCTTCAGAAATGCAACAGTGGCCTTAGATGTGTGTTTTGGATCATTGTCATGTTGGGAAAGTGCACGACGCCCAAGGGTATGGAGTGATGGTAGCATCTTCTCTTTCAATATAGAGCAGTATATCTGTAAATTCATGATGCCATCAATGAAATGCAGCTCCACGACACCAGCAGCCCTTATGCAGCCCCACAGAAGGACACTGCCACCACCACCATGTTTCACTGTAGGCATCATGCATTTTCCTTTGTACTCCTCACCTTTGCGAGGCCATACAGTTTTGAAGCCATCAGTTCCAAAACCTTTATCTTGGTCTCATCACAGAGTCCCAGTAGTCTTCCTCTTTTTCAGCATGGGCCCTGGCAAATTCTAGGTGGGCTTTTTTTGTGCGTGGGTTGTAGGAGAGGCTTCCTTCATGGATGACATCCATGCATGCCATTCCTGTGCAGTGTACGCCGTATTGTGTCACAGGAAACAGTCACCCCGTTTGGTTTTCTACTTCTTTAGCTAACTGCATTGAACTTGCATGGTGATTTTATTTGACCCTTCTCATCAGAAGCCGCTCCTGTTGAGGCGTTAACGTCCGTGGACGGCCTGGACGTCTCTGTGAGATGGCTGCAGTTCCATCTTTGTTAAACTTTTGTATCACTTTTGCGACAGTATTCTGACTAATAAGTAAAGCTTTGCTGATCTTCTTGTAGCCTTCATCTTTCTTGTGTAAAGAAATTATTTTCCTTCTCAGGTCTTGTGACATTTCTCTTCCATGAGTTGGTTTTCTTTGTTAAATAACACCCTTTTAAAATCAAGTGTCTGCTGGACATCTGCTTAATTAGACTCACCTGTAGTTGAATTATTGTTCATAAGGATCTTGTCTAAAATTTAGCTTTGCTCCTAAGACTTTCATTGGGGTGTATTCATTTTTGCAACATGGTCTTGAATGAATTTGTTAAGGAAAATACTTTTCTGTGTGTGCACATTAACAAATCTTGGTTGCAATCACTGGCCCGCATTTGTAGGAGTATTTTGTAGTATACTGTCCCATAGAAAATGTTGATTCTGAAAGGAAGGCAAAGGTTTTCTGACAAATCTGTTGGGTTGTACTCATTTATGCTGTGCACTGTAAAAGGTGCTACTGCAGTGACACCCAACCTTTTTTTTGTCCAAGAAAGGAAAAAGAATATTTGCATAATCTGTTTGAAATTCATAACATTACATTTTTGCCAACACACCTAAGATCCAATCATCAGTAAACTGTAGCCTATGTCCTGCAAGAGAACCAGTCAAACTAATGGAAAGGTCTCAGTTGTAATATTATTTACAATGTTAGCTTTGAATAACATATAAGAAAACACCTTAAAAGTGGCCAGTAGCTGCTGGTAGTCTTGCAGCCACACAATGAATAGGCATGTAGCTGTGTCGCCAGCTAACATTAAATTAATACAAATGAAAATCGGGGGTGGGGGATGGGGGGGTACAATGCAGACTACAACAATGAAAAATACTCTATATGTACATGCGATAAGATATTAATGTTGCTGTTTACTCACTGACATAGATATACAAGATTATACGAGATGATTTTCTCTTTCATTCTGCCACACCAGAGGATAAAGTCAGTCTAACATCTGATCATGTTGGCAGTTACAGCTGACTAACTTTAAGGGATGTAAACTTGCCACCATTGAAAAAGTGTTTACATGGCCCATGAAACGAGCCACAACATAAATGTGCATGCGTGCACATCATAGGTGCACTCTTATACCACTACAACAAATGGCACTAATCCTCTGTTCAGACTGTAAAACTAGGAAAGCCAAGCTGCTGTTGTATATGCAAGTTTAGAATGTAATGATTGTTACCTTCTAGTTGCAAAGAACTGAAATCCAGGAGCAACGTCAATGCAGTCCTCCCGTCCTGGAATCAGCAGCTTCTTGTTCTCCATCAAAGGCAGAAGCACAGATATCTAACAAAAAGAACAATTCAATCAAGCTGTGAATTGTGGCAATGACATAGACAGTTTATTAGTAAAAAGAATCTGTTTAGAATTTACTCTGAAAATAGAATAAGTGGGAATAACTGGAAAAGGCAGTATGACGGATGTAGATTATCCAGTTCTCATAAAGATTTAACCCACCACATCTAGAGGTGCATGGTCAATGTCTTCCAAGAGGATCCACTGGCCTTCAGACACAGCTTGTGTCAGCGTTCCTGGCTGCCACATAAACTTTCCAGGAATATCACTGCAATGGTACATCCCCAGCAGCATCTGCGAAACAAAGTACATCTGAGTTTTCAGCCTTTCATCCAGCCTCCACTGAACATTAAAGGAACAATCCAGTAATTTAATATTAAATTCAGATGGGGTGCTCACACGACAGTGGTTGATTCAATTTAATTAAAGAAAGCTCAAAGAAACAAAGGCTCAGATATCCTGACCTGTGGTCGCTAGTTAGACCCTAACCACCCCCTAGCAATCTTTATTTATATGGCAGCATTCTAAACATAAGTTACTTGTCTAGTCATAAGTTACAACAGATACAAACAATATAGGTAAACACATAAAAACAGTATAAAAATACACATTTAAAAAAACTAACTTTCAGAAGCATTTGGTTAGAGGATCTAAGAGATCTTACAGCGGTATGGGGATGTAAGAGCTCAGATACAGAGTGGTGTCAGGCCATAAAGAGCTTTAAAAACAAGTAATATTTTTAAAAGAATCCTCTGTTGAACAGGGAGCCAAAGAAGTGAAGCAAAGATCAAAATCATATGCTCCCAGATGTCAGAAAATGAAGGGCAGCATTCTGTACTAACTGCAGTCTAGACAGTAGTATTGAAGGGATACCAATATGCAGGGCATTACAATAAGTGTTAGTGTCAGTGTCAGTGTTACAGCTAATGAACGATCAGTTAAATTAAATATGGTTTTTCGAGGAGACATCTCTGAACAGCCATGACAGAAGGACCATGGTGAAGCCAGCCCTCTGAAGGGAGAACTGGCCAGCTGGAAGCATCTGCACTCCTGAAATGAGCCCAGAAATCCAGCGACGACAGACGTGTCCCGAGTTCTCAGCCGAGAACTACCTTAGCTCTCCAGACCTGCTCGACTCTTACTTAAAAGAGCCTCAGAACCAGCGCTTACCCTCCTCCTGGCCACATGGAGTCTCCAAAGCTAAACGGCTACCTCCTGTTAACAGATAAGTGTACTATAGCTGACTGATGTCTCCTGAAAACCTTATATATTAACTATTAGTTATCAAACTAAAGTCTCTAACCTATATAAATCGATAGCCATTTTCCCTCTCCATATTCATTATTAAATCCCAGAACTTAGATCTAGAATGATAAACTTCCACCAGCGCTAATACAGACAGGATAGCTACTCTTTCATTCATCAGATCATTCGCATACTGTACATACAGTATTTCTCACCAAAACCCCTCATGGTATGATGAAATGGCCACAGCATAGGCTTTCACAGTAGACAGAGCCAGGGCTCATCTCGAGCGCTCACGTTCCTGCGAAGTGCAAACAGATCTGCCACTGCTCGCCTGAACCTGTCCCACAGCACTTGTATGAGGGATGGGTTCAGTTTCCACTGGCTTGGCTGAGGCCCGCCTCGTGAGATTAAATCCATGGCACCATTCTGCTCACCCAGAATGTGCACAGCTCTGATAGAGTGCAGGTTACGGTGGGCGGGACCAAGCCACTGTGTAGAAGGAAACTCATCTCCGCCGGCATTCATGTCGACCAGTGGGTCAATGGGATAGCCGGGGGAGCCAGCAATGGAGGGAGGCGAGTCCATCGACTCGGACCCTTCCACGCCGACCATGCCAAGGAACTCCAGAGGGCAGCCAAAGAGAGAACAGTGTGCTCTGCCCTGAAGCAAGTCTCACAGCAGGGGTGTGGATCGCTGGGCAGAATGAAGCCCGTCTCACAGACTAGGCAGACATTGATGATGACGCAGCACCATCACTGTCTCTTTTTAAAAAAGAGGGAGCCGAACTCAGGTCACATAGGCTTTTATACAGCCACAGCGGACCTGAGTAGAGACAACCCAATGCAGGGCACAGGGTGTGAAAGAAAACTCTTTAGAACTGCAAATGTGCAAGGGATAAACCCAATCCCTTAGTTCTTAGAGGGTGAAGCCTATACGAAATAGAACAAGAGTGACTTGATCATGTGACTCAAACTGGAGTACTTGCTGCTTTAGATGTCAAACAAAAATGTGAAGAGCCCCCTCATGAGTACTACTACAAACTTCTTTGTGCCTACTTCAGCTCACGAAATGACCCTGGCATAGTTGAAGAGCTCCAGTTCCAGGAAATCTTTGTGCTCTCACCTTGCTGTCAGTTTGATCACCAAGCTGCACCTTGAGAATCTCTGTAGCCTTTGTATGTCCCGTGACAGCAGCCATAAACTCTACCAAAGCAGTTTTACCGCATCCAATAGGACCCTCAAGGAGTACAGGCTTCTGGGACGCTACAGCCAATGCCAGTCTTCTCAGATTACGGCAGGTGGAGTCCACTAACACCAGATCCTTTTGGTTCATCTACAAACAGAGTGCAACATTAGGAAGGGTTTACAAAAAAATAAAAAAGACCCATATATGTGAAACATACCTGTTCAGTGTGTCTAGGAACTCTCCTGGGTAGTACAACACCACAGACTGCTACAACATTCTGGGACAGGTCTTCTGATACAACCTGCCCCCTGGTAAACTTATTAACTTGTTCCTGGCGCCACATCACAGAGCCCTGATTGGCTAATACCAGGGCCTTCTCCACCTCCAGCTGCTGAGTTTCTTCCAAAGCTCTAAACAAGAAACAACAACAACAAAAAAAAGGAGGCAAAAGTCATGACATGAAACTTATAAAGAGTTGTAGTTACATGAACCTATGCAAATGTTTGCATAATGCAACATTATGCTACTTTCTTTCCAGCTGTTCTGCTTTGATTCATATTCTTATTTTTTATAAATGTACTTTACCATTTTTAAATTGTTTTATCTTATGCATTCATTTGCTGTTGCTGTTGAACAGAGAGATGCCACTTAAAGTTTCATTATTCTTTGTAAAATCATGACAACAAAGTCTATTCTATCCTATTGTTGAAATATTAAACAATGTTAGTATTGTACACATTGACACAACAATAAACTTTAAATTATGCACTGAAAACATCTTTTCTAGCTTATAAACTCCATGTAATTAATGTATTACATCTACAGAAACACAATATAAATTGCATATATAAGAAAATATACTGTACTGTTATTATATTAAACCTTTATTCAAAGAGCAGCTCCAATGAAGGAGCTGGGGTTAAGGGGCCACCACCACAGTGGTGTTGATCAGGGCGGGACAAGCACTGCTTTTTTACTTATCCCACCCAGAGTGACCCTGTAAGTCTGAGTACTGACCTAGCATCCTTCTATAACCTTTAGGCCACCACTTTCCATAAAGAGGCTCATATTTCAATGGTAACATTCAAATTAATTCTTTTCAGTAATATTCAGCTTTAATAGATAGAAATGAACTATGATGATATTGATAATGGATAACAAAAACAAATGTACATACTTAATTTTCATGTGCAGGATCTCATCACTTGTCAGCACCTTTCTCAGAAAGATAGTTTTCTGATTATCAGTCATGTGGGAGACCAGTGCTAAACAATGGGCAGTGTACCTGGTAGAGGCAATGGGAAATACAATATGTTTATTTTGCTGGTCAAACCAGCAGAAAGCAAAAGAAGCAAACATGTACAAAGAAGGTGAAGCAAAGGCATACAACAGTATCAACATTGTTGTAACAGCTGCAAGTAAACACCAAGATCAATAATAGATATACCCAAAATGAAAATTAAGATAAGAAATTGGGCATTTATTAAAAAAATCAGAATCTGAAATTTTATTTACAAAACCATTCAGACCCCTGATTTGACCCCCTAATCTGTAGCCCCTATCCCTGGAGTTACAGCTAAGTTAGAGTCTTCTTGAGTAAGTCTCCACATGCTTTGCACATATGGATTTGAGCAGTTTATCCCATTCTTCCTGGAAGATCATCTCCAGCTCAATCAGACTGGATGGGAAGTGTCCATTACCTGCCATCCTCTACAGATGGCCTGTGGGTTTAAGTCTGGACTTTGGTCCAGGCCACAACAGAACCGGCAGCATGTTGGAGTGATGCTTTGTCTCGTGAGCTGATCTTTTTTCTGTTTTTGAGGCATACCAGGGGTTCCTGTCTTGTGGTGACAAGTAAACATGTAGGCCTACACCCTTGGAAGCTTTCTTTGATTTTGAGTATCCTGTTGATTTTGGCAAAGCAGCTACTTTTGACATCTCTCTGATGGATTTAAGATTTTCTTCCATTCATTATCATCAACCCCGCCACAATCTAACTGGTACAACTCTCAGCTGTTAATCAAGTCTGAGCAACATGTGGGCTCTTTGGTGTACAGACTATTGTTGAAACAACAGTAAGTTATGCAAAATAAATAAATAAATAAATAAAAAACTTGTATCCAAGTGTCCAGTCACTTCTCAGTGCTTCCAATCTGGACAATAAGTGATAAAAGAACTCCATCTCACACACGGTTCATTCAATATTGATGCGTAACTGTCCTCACTGCATCGGCAGTAACTCTGCATTTTAACACATCAGTAGTTCTTTGAGACAAGTGAGAATCCTTGTAGCTTTGACTCTGAATTACAGCTAGCAGGCTGATGTAAACTGTTTTCCTACTCAATCGCTTGTAATTACAGACTAAACAATATGACTTGTACTCAGTGTTAAACTAAAACTTTGGGCTTTGAAATAGAGACACATACCAGAAGAGGAGGAACAACAAAAACACACTGGTCTGTTTTTATCTATTACAAATCAGACATGCTTGGCATTGCCATCAATTATTTCCTAAAGCTTACAGTGGCAAGAAAAACTATGTGAACCTTTTGGAATTTCATGGTTTTCTGCATTAATTTGTCATAACATGTGCTCTGATCTTCATCTAAGTCAAGAGTACTGATGAATATAATGTGCCTAATATAACACAAAAAAATTCTGACCTTTCATGCCTTTATTGAAAACTACTTTGACTGATAACCACTCAAACCTTTTGAGTTTGCTCCGCACAAGAAGAATATGCTTATGTGAGCCACATCTCACCAAAAAAAGGCTTTCAAAAGATCTACGATCAAGAATTGCTGATTTACAAAAACCTGGAAAGGATTATAAAGTGATTTCAAAGACTTTAAAAATTCACCAGTCTACAGTTAGGCAAACGATCTACAAATGGAGACACTTTGGGACTGTGGCTACTCTACCAAGAAGTGGGCGCACAGTCAAAATGACCCCAAGAGCACAACTAAGACTCATCAATGAGGTAAAGAAACAACCTTGAGTCACAGCCAAAGATTTGAAGGCATCACTGGAACTGGATAACATCTGTGTTCATGAGTCTACGGTACATAAAACATTGAACAATCATTGTGTCTATGGCAGGACACCATGAAGGAAGCCGCTGCTTAGTAAAAAAAACATTGCTGCACGCCTGAAGTTTGCAAAAGAGCTGATTGACACTCCACAGTGGTATTGGCAAAATGTTTTGTGGACTGATGAAACTAAGGTTGAACTATTTGGAAAGAACACGCAGCACTACATCTGGCATAAAAAGGGCACTGCATATCATCATGAAATCATCATCCCAACCGTAAAGTATGGTGGAGGAGACATGATTTGGGCCTGCTTTGCTGCATCAGGGCCTGGCCAGCTTGCAGTCATTGAGGGGAAGATGAATTCCCAAGTATATCAAAAAAAAAAATTCAGGATAATGTGAGAATGTTTGTACATCAGCTGAAACTCTGTAGAAGTTGGGTGACGCAACAGGACAATGACCCAAAACACCGGAGCAAGTCCACAACAAAATGGCTTCAGAAAAACTAAATTTGCCTTTTGGAGCTGCCAAGTCAGAGCCAGAATTTTTTTTGTGTTGTTTTTGTAGGCACATTATATTTGTCAGTACTCTTGACTTAGATGAAGATCAGATCACATTTTATGACTAATATATGCAGAAAACCATGAAATTCCAAAAGATTCACATACTTTTTCTTGCCACTGTATCACACATTTTTTCTTACAACTGGACAATGACCCAAAGCAGAGTTCAAAAAGCACCAGAACGTGCAGTTGGCAAGAGAAGAGTGGTCCAAAATTCCAGTAGAGAGGTGGAAGAAACTCACTGATGGTTACAGGAAGTGACTGATTTGAGTTATTTTATCCAAAGGGTGTCAATGATTCTGTTCAGTCCATTTTTAGAGTTCTGTGTGGAATGGATCAAATTTGGCTTTTTCTCTGCTTTTTGTGTTGTTCCAATGCAAACAAAAGAAATGAACATGAAAATACCAAAGAATTTGTGATTGCAACAATTTCCTGGGAGAAGTGGTGTGTTATCTGACAGAAATGCAGGGGTGCCAATATTTTTGGCTATGACTGTAGGTTTGTGATATAAAAATCTGTATGATTATCAGAAAATGAGAACACTACTTTGGCTTTAATAACAGATCACTTAATATTCTGGATGAACTTTCATCAGGCAAGTTTCAAGCTCCTGCTAGCTGACTTTCAAACCTGAAATATGCAAAAAGTAAAGGCTGACTGGACAGAACATCCAAACAAGGTTGGCATGCTCTGGAAAGTGTTCGGTGTTATGGGTTTCAATTTGCAGGAAACGGGTTCAAAGATGGAAACACATAGACACTGATATTAAATGCAGAAAAAAAACACAGATGCTGTGCCTTAACCGTCACTGAGCTGACCTACACCCACAGACATTAGAATAGTCTTTAGGGAATATGGCTGACAAAGTCACATGTGTCTAAAAGCAAAACAGGTACATACCCCCGAACCATGACATCGCTGGTGAGCAGCTGGGACACACAGGGACTCCAGTCCCAGAGCATTCGAAACTTGGCACCATCACTCTGGAGGAATTTTAGGGTGGCACCCATGAGGTCACGCAGCTTCATCCTCCTGGGGCCATAGTGAACAGATGATGACTCTTCACTTGTGAAAAAGAGCCGCTGAAACACTGGAGGGGCATTGTTGAAGTACTTTGCAGCAAACCTTAAAGACAGGAGTGGAAAATGAGTCAGGATATATGTAGAATACTGCAGAAAAGGTTCCTGTATAAGATGGCTGACTGAGTGCCAAAGGACCTGGCTTTTTTAGAGCTTGACCCTTTCTAGAAACAAAAAGTCAGGATAATTTGGCCTTTTTGTCACCAATTTAGAGCAGTCATTTATTAAAGTTGTCTCTCACAAATCCCCCAACTTAGTCAAAGTGCAATACTAAATCACCCTAGTAACCTTTTACACTACAATATCTGCAGGGTTCAGTAAAGGTTTGGGACAAAGTGAAAACTGCAGCAAGACACCAGACCCTAAGGGCAGAGACACACCAAGCCGACATCAAATAATGAGCAGCAATGAATGACGACTGCTGTGTCACCTCACGAAGCCCTCATCTGGGCCACAAAGTACCACAAAGACTACAGCCGACAACCAACTAGCATGTACACTCAATGTTTGCATGGGAGGAAAGTACTATCCTTACCAGCAGGTAGTGGTATTCGACATTCAGAAATGGAAAGTGGAAGACCTAGGCTGTGTCCGAAATCACTTCCTACTCACTATAGAGTGCATTCATCATTTGTAGTGGTGTACAAATGCTGAGTGCATACATTTATCTACTATATATTGCACTCAAAAATTCCACAACAGAACATAAAAAGTGTACATGCCATGAACACTACTTTCTGCTATCAATCCCACAATGCAACACTCCACATTTTATCAGATGGAAAATGATGGTCACGCAGTTCTACAGCTGTTAGTGACGATGCAAAATGCAGATAATTACAACTCCAAATCAGAAAAAAGTTGGGTTGGTATGTAAAATCAAAATTAAAACAAACTAGTGATGTGTAAATCATCTGTGTCCTGTATTACATTGAAAACAATACATATTGAAAACATAGCCGCACATTATTTGATGTGACACCTCTTCAATTTTATTCTTTGTTCAAAACAAACACCCACTTCAATTTTGATGTCTGAAACAAATTCCAAAAAAAAGTTGGGACAGTAAAGCGAGGGACCATGGTGTGATGTTGCTGTTCCTTTTCACAACAGTTAAAAGACATTTAGGAACTGAGAGCACCAAATAATTAAATGCGTCAGGTGTCATTTTGTCCCATTCTTCCTGCAAACAAATCTTAAGGTGCGCAACAGTCCTCAGTCTTTGTTGATGCAATTTGCATTTCAAAATCCACCACACATTCTCTATTGATGACAGGTTAGGACCGCAGGCAGTCCAGTCCAGCACTTGCACCCTTTTCCTCCACAGCCATGTCTTGGTAATGTGGCAGTATGAGGTTTTACATTGTCTTACTGAAATATACATGGGTGTCCTTGGAAAAGACGTCGTCTTGAAGGCAGCATATGCTGCTCCAAAATCTCTATGTATTTTTCAGCAGTAATGGAGCCATCACAGAAGTGTAAGTTACCTTTGCCAAGGGCACTGATACAATCCCAGACCCTGACAACATCAGAATTGAAGTAGGTGTTTATTTTGAAAAAATATCAAATTGAGTGAACTGCTTAGAGTATGTTGTATAGGGAGTGATTTGAGACACAACCCTAGACTGCAAATATACAAAGTCTAAACAAACTGTTCATAAGTGCATCTAATCAACACTATGACTAATAAGAAGCTGCAAATGGCACTGGTGTTGTCAGCCTTTGATGGAAGAAGAAAGGAACTCACAGAAGTGAAAAATAAAGGGAAACCACACTATATGAGTGAAATCATGGATGCTACAGTGACAGACTAAAGGGGCTTTCTCCAGCTGTTCTCTGAGTTGCTAAGTTGAACAGCCAATCAGAGTGGTTTCTCTCACAGAGGGATCTGCCACCGATTCAACATGTTGAATCAGCTGAAAAGTCACTGACGGGGTTTTTGTTTTTTAATTATCTGCACAGGCGCAATGTTACGTCCCTGGTAGGCTAGTGGTTAAGGTGCAGCGGGTTCGAATCAGGGTTGCGTCAGGAAGGGCATCTGGCGTAAAACACGTGCCAAATGTCAACATGCAAGTCGTCAGTGTGACGATTTGCTGTGGCAACCCCTAAACGAGAAAAGCCGAAAGTGTTCACAGGCACAATGTTACCAATCCAGCAACTTTGCTGTGACGACAAGACTTCATAGGCATTGAATACAGTTGATATTTATTAAGAAATTGCTGGAAAATAGCTTTTTGAATTTTGTACAGCACAAAGATAGCCATTGGCCATGATAGTATTCCTAGATAAATATGTTTACTTTGCTTGAATGTGTAAAGAGACATAAACATGGGTGTTTGAGGGTGTGTAAAGGGACCCCTTAACATATTTTTCACCCTGGGCGCCCCAGGTTAATATAGCCATGTAGCAATAAATTCAGGATAAGCACGTTTACAGATCAGGATGAAGAAAGGATATTTCACATGCAGCGTGATGAAAACAGAGTCTACTTACGCCAGTGCATCAGGACTGATCCTGAGGAGTTTGCTTAGTGCCACACACAGGCGCTCATGGAGGTCATGGTTGATTCTGCCACCATCTTTGACCCTCTCTGCGTTCCTTTCCAAAAGGTCCAGAATCAGGGGTCGCAGGTGTCGTGCAATCAACAAAGTATAATCCTTCTCCAACAGCAGCTGAGCCAAACTGTCCAGAAGACACTGCCTGTCCTGCTGGCTCCATATCTGAAGAAACATCATATAGCAGGAAGGCCTCAAATGAAATATGGATTAGCTGGTAAAAAATACATAATCTTGGCTTCTTCAAAATCTTTACAACCTAGGGGTTAATAAGGCAGCAGCATATATTTAACCACATACTTTAGACAAAAATTATGTGATTTGTAGAATGACTCCTGATGTGTGGGATACTCCTTGGTGCACACAACACGTTTTGAGACACCAGCGGAAACACATAATTTTATTCCACACAAGCCAGGAACTAACATATCTTACCTGTTTTGAAAGATAACGGCTTATTTCGTTGTGACTTCTGTCAACATGTCTGGATATGATGCCCAGTGATGACAGACTCAATTCTAAATTTTCCATCTTATCATTTGCCGCTTACGAAGGAGCGATCTACAGATTTAACAGGCTCGCGCGGTGTATGAAAAGCTCTAATAAGTTACTGTTATTAAAATAAACTGTGAAGTTCATCACGCGCTTGTCAGTCTGAAGATGTATCACAAGACACAAACACGTTCCCGTTAGTGAGATTAAAATCCCGTCCACATGTGCGTGACGCACAAATCCTTCCGGGTCGGTTATATCCCCTCTCTCTCATTTCTGACGTCGCGCTGTAATGACGTGTACGGACAGCGACGGCAGTTGTAACTGTTCGTGAGTGAGATCATTTTTGTCTGAGTTTGCAGCTATTTAATGTTATTATTTATGGCAGGTGATTGTGGAAGAATGTGAACCGCCGGAGGGGACTATGAATCGCATTATATCTGGTTCCATGTAAGGCTTTATTGCTGTTTTAACAATATTTTTGAAGCCGAGGAGCTGCAAGAATAAAACCACTTCAGCGACAGACCGCGGGAAAATGTCGTTATTTCCTGTGCACTAAAGTCTTGGCGCGACATTACGGTTGTAAACAACAAGAGGACTCAGTAGTGCACACAAATAAGCAAGCAAGTAAGTTTGCCTATTTTTTAGTACATTGTAAGATCATTTAATGAATGCCCAACGGATAGGGTTCACATTGGCATTCTTAACTTTTTCCTAGATAATACCATTGTGCCATTGTTGGCAGTTAACGTTCATTTATCCACCCAACGGTAATAAAATAAACAATAACATGTGCAGTAACCATTGGTGACATTCTCTGATAAAATACATAAATGTGTTTTTCAATTACAATAATTAAAGCTACATATGAATAAATATGTAAAAGGTTTCAAACAGGTTGCCTGTTGCAACCACTTGACTTTACAAGACTGCTCTGTCAACTCCACGATTCATTACAGATGAATTAACTGTGTTGCTGATTAATTGTGGGCTTACCTCTGCTTTAGGTGTAGCCACCACTTACAGTTTGTGTGTTCTGGCTGATATTTGTTTGCTGGTAATAATTATTGATTTTTCCTTTTCACTATTTTCACGTACTCCTTAAGAAATTGAGTCACAGATATTTGGAATAATGGAGGACACTGACACCAATTACACCTCTGGTCGTAAGTATCTGTCTGCTATATTTATCTAAACGGTTACATCTAGATTTATGTACTACTATTTGTGTATTACAAAAAAATTCTGGTTTATAATCATACTATTTTAACATATAATATATATAGTGTTGATGGCTTTATCAGTTTTCCCTGCAGTGGTTTCACTCCAGTTCCCAGTCAAAATTATTATCGATATTAGAATAAAATTCATCTTGGAAAAATAAATATGACACCTAGGGATGGGATGATATGGCTTTTTTTTTTTTATACAATTCAATGCACGATGTGGTGTGTACAATTTCATTTAATCACAGTACAATTAAAAATTCAATGACAGCAATGTCTGACTAGCTGTGGAATACTTGTACTGTAATTCTATTTTTCCCCCTTTCTAGCACTGGTTTGATTATGTAAAGAGCAACCACATTAATTTCTGCTAGGCTGTCTTATTTGCAAAAAATATGAAGTCGCTGTTGTATGGAGACCACACGATATATATCGCTAGACAAAATGATACATTTTGGGAGATTTTTGTATCACAATATATTGAATTATAATATATCGTCACGTTCCTAATGACAACAATTACAAAATAACTTCTTATTTGCCTGCTGCGATTTCATTAGTGCTTCAATTCTACAGGTAAAGTTAATATATCATGTAGCACTTTAAACGATTTCCATAGTGGAACAAAAAATGCAGCATCCATAGGATGTGGAAATGAATATGCTAGTAAATTTAAACATTTAGGTTAAGACTTGTGCGGACAATGAGTCGATTATAGCTAGGCCTATACACAATTTATGATGTACATTTGTCCAGTAATATGTGTATAATATCCACAGTCTTGGTACCTGATGTCAGTGAAGATTCTGTGGATATCTATGATGGCCTGGATACTGGTTTTAGCAGCAGTGCAGGTAAAAGTTCTTTAAAGACATGGTTTCACTTTGCCTTTCTTCTACAGTGCAACAGTAGCACATATAGACAGAGGCAGTCCTGCCCACATTCTTTTGTTCAACACTGAAGCTGACTTTATAATGGTGGTTTATCTCATTTCTTGTCTTATCCTGGTTTGTTATAGAGAAGCCACCTTCATGTGCTTCTCAGCTGAAAGACTCACTGGATCTGTATGAAGAAATTGTCGCAGAGGAGCAGCAGAACAGAGAGTCTTCTTGTGCTCAGGTGAGTTGCTGTGCTCTCACCTGAGCAAATAGAAACAGTGCCTTGGCTTTTTTCCCTGAAAGTTAATGTTTTTTTGCATAAAATTGTGATACATTTTTAAGATGTTAGCTGCATTTATTCAGTTGCAAGAAAAAGTAATGGCACTGTTTGCAATTTCCTGTTTTTTCTGGATAAATTGGTCATGAAATGTGATTTGATCTTCACCAAAGTCACAAATGTCAACAAACACAATATTTCTAAGGTGACAAAACACATTCAGTCCTGATCTTTCATGTCTTTAGTGTACATACCCATTAAGAAAGACTGACAAAGACAAAGACTGGGCATACAGACATACAGTAGACTGGGCACCGATGTCTTGGGTCAGTGGTTATTAGAAGCTTTTTAAAGTCTCCTTGTTCCTCTGCTGCAACTTTGCACTCTTCTTTTAATCGGAACATTATGGGTAAATGTAGCCCTGGTTTGTGACTGTTATGTGTTATATACATTACATGAGTCACAGGCTGGGGCTAGGGTAAATGAAACTTGTAGTCATATCAAGGCAGAGGCGTTTTCAGGCAGCAAACGCAGGTGGTGTGGTAGCAGCCTCACAAAGTAAAACACACTCTTCATACTGCAGTTTATGATGCTGTTATAAATGGTGGAAGAGATTTGAAGGGATTTTTTACAAACCAGGGCTGCTTCACTAGCGTAGACCAGCAGCGAGAGTAGAGCAAGTTTTGTGCAGAGGGTAAGTGGGGGCAGGGTTTCACAGAGGGTGTGAGAGAGGCGAGATGCAAACACCAAGAGAAAAACCAGGTTAGGTGATGCAACATCATTACAGATATAAATGGTATTGTCTCATCCTACACTTTGTTTGAAATTATACTGATCTACCTTACAAAGTCGATATACCCAGCCCTAGACTATAAAAATGCCCATGTCCCTCTGCTCCAATGAAGGCTTCGCAGACATCACCATGCTCTGATAAAATGCAGAGGGCTGCTGACAGCTGGCCAACTGTCTCACAGACTTCTTTTTGTGTGTTTGCAGTTGAAGTCCAGGCTCCAAGCAGCTCAAAACCAAATCAAACAGTTGCATCGGAGACTGGAGCAGGTGGAAATGCAGGTTTGTTGTAGTTAAGTTTTTTTGCTGTTGAAAATGTGAAAGCTTCCACCTTGGAATAGTTTGCAGAGGGGAATCAAATTACAGAACTTAATATACAGGGCTCCAGACTGGGAGTGAGCACTCGCATTGTGTGACCACATTTATTTATGGTGAGACTGACTTTTTTCAAAGGTCGCACTGGGTGAGACTGCAAAATAAACAGGTTACACATGAACAATTACCCTTACTGTAGAAATGGAGGACAGACATAACAATCTCCGCGATACTGTCATCACAACGTTTTATCTGCAGATTTGTCACTCACCCATCTATCAAATGTGTCGATCCACTAACCCTGGGACACGTGTCATCCCTGAACCTGTATTGTGCACGTCAAGTTTATTTTTTCCTTTGGCACTTTTGAAGTGTAATTGCCACAGACTGCTGTTTAAATCAGGTAGATCACCTGTTAGCTTGTTTATGTGTTGGAAACCTTTTCCCTGAATCTCTTCTGATGGATCAGGCTCCTGGTGTCACTGAGATTTCTGGTTTTACTTTACTAAACTCTGTGATAAATTATGTCTTTACTAATAGTCTTTCTTTTTATAGGTTTTGTGTTTTTGTATCTTTCTCTGTTGTTAGCCTGTTTGACCTTTTATATACTGCATAGTCACTTGAATTTTAGTTTTATTTGTTCCAGTCTCCTTGAAAAAAAAAGAGGTTGCTAAACTCAGTGGAATACTACCCACTTAGACAAAAGTTAAATCAAATAAACTTTAAGCTTCAAAAAGATGAGAATAATATTTTTACTGTGGTTCGTAGGCCATCTATCGTTTCCTATAGTGTTATTAAATGTATTTTGTGAAGAATCATTACCCTCAGTTATAGAGTGATTATTGATAGTTGAGAGTAGCTTCAGAAAGTATTCAGACCCCTGTACTTTGTGTTCTTGAAAGTTTCGATTTTTAATACAGTTGCAAAAACTTCAAACTTTGTCGGTATGGGTTATTGAGTGTAGACGAACAACAAAAATGGCAACTTCAAAATTAAATCTGCTACACAAAGTGCAAAAAGTGAAGGCGTTTGAATACTTTCCTGAAACCATTATGTTAACAACTCCTGAGAAGTGACACATAATTCAGTGTTACTAACTCACAGCATGTTGCCCTTGTTCCTAGGCATTATTTTACCACTCATTAGGAAACCAAGTGAGAGACTCCATTTTTAAATCTTGTTGAAGTGAAATAACCAATAAAAAGTTGCTGGACAAGTTGCTGTCAGTAACAGTTGGAAACCGAGGCCAACCCAGGCCCGCCTGGCTCTGCAGAGTAAAAGAAGGCAAACCGTGCTGATGGGAATAACACCAGTAGTATCACCCCCCCAAACCCTCAGCATCACCTGCACCTGTTCTCATAGGCCATTTTCCCACTAACATAGATAATGCTTATTTATTATGTGTCACCAACTGTTGTTTAAAGGCCAATACAGAACGATTAATTTTTTTGTCAGTCAGCTGTTTGTTCTTTTTCTTATTCTATTAAGAGTATTACGCACAATTGAACTGATCCTGGAATAGGCATGTGGAAACCTGAGAGTCCAGTAAAAGTTGTTCATCAAAATTCACCAGCACTAACATTCTCTCTCTCTGTCTGTCTTTGTATCTGTCTTTCTCTCACTCTGTAAACAGAAAACAGGGTTAATCTTGGAAAACTGCTGTCTCAAAAAGAACATCTCAGCACTTTTACAAACAGCTAGACAGGAAGTGGCACGAAAAGATGCTGAGATTCAGTGGCTGAATCAGCGGTACGTTTTTGTTTCAAATATATAAATTGGTGACTCACTTTATACATATTACACATATCTATTTTACAGTAGCATGTCATGCTGTTATATAATTATAATCGATCACAGAATTCTCTGTATGAGTTAATCTGACATTTCCAATATAGCAATTGTAAAAAAGCCATGTTTGAAGATGAATTAGGCCAAGTAACTTTTTAATCACTGCCTAACCATTGTGGTCTAACAGTCTCAACTGCTTTGCTCTATGTAAAATAATGAATCCATTGTTAAAACTGTTTTTGCCAGGCAAATGAAAAGTCGTCATCATCGTCAGTTTCACAATAATCAGAATTCCTCAAGCTGGACCTCCACAGGCAGCTCCAGCAATAAGCCACCTACCTCTAGTCCTCTGCCACCTCCTCCACCATCTTCACCTCCTAGGGAGAATCAGCATTCAAGGAATTCACATCAACCTTCAGTAAAAGAAAGCAACAATTCCACCAGTCAGCCCCTTGGCTCCTGTGCTGAGACAAGTGCTTCTAAATCATCTTCTCATAGTAATTTAAAAAGTACCTCAAGGGGGGATTGTAAAATACCTGACAAACAGACTGAGCACTCTGTCAGCAAATGCAGCAGCAGTTCATCCACCCAACATAGTGAGTTGGACAAACACAAGTCTAAGCACAGAGAGGAAAAATATCAAAGTCATAAACTTTCTGAATCAACAGATAGGAGACATAGATCTAATTCAGATCCCAACAAGGATTGTCATGACAAGAACAGGTCTCATAAAGCAGAAAAAAACACCGGACGAAATTTTGATTCCAGGTCATCTAAAAGCAGGGCCTACCTAAATGTTGAGGGGCGCCACAGATCAGACAGGGTTAAAAGCCCTCCACCAGTGATTTTACACAGCGCAGCTTCCTCTGATGGCACCAAAGGGAGAAGTCGAGAATGGAGACAAAATAAAGCTAAATTGTTGTCATCAGACTTGGAACATAGTGCAACTCAAATCTCTAAAGAGAGCTATAGCCGAGATCATAGAAAACTCAAGACTAGTGACAGACATAGCAGAAGCTCAGACTCAAAGGACCGGACAAAGTCCTCTTCAAGTCAACATGCTGAGCGGTACAGTGATTCCTCCAAAGTGAGGGAAGGAGAGCGACTTTCAAAGGATTATCAACGGAAGGAGCAGAGGCAACGAGAAGATGAAATAAACAGAAAGCACAAGGGGAGTCGTCTGTCAGAGATGAGCAGAGGATGCGGAAAAGAGAGATCAAAAGAATCAGGCCAAGGTGAAGTGAATGTTCAGAGTAAGGATAAACAAGAAAAAACATCTAAGACCTTAAAAAGATCATCTAAAGAACAAAAGACCACTGAGAAAAGTTCTGTGGAAGAAAATACTCCACACAAGAAACTGTGTTTTATGGAAACATTGAATCTAACCATTTCACCAATTAAGAAGCCAGTGTTGTCCACTGGTATCAGCCAGGATGCTCTCACACCAGTGGACAGATCAGACGATAAGTCGCATGCTCGTATGGAAGATATGTGTGTCATTCGTGAAGTAGACACCATTGAATTGGAATCAGGGTTGGAAGATGTTACAGAGCAATGTCCAGATACCCACGAAGATCTAAGCACTGAAAAGACAGACAAGAGATGTGATAATGCAGAAGATGTACACGAAAAGGACAAGAACTGTAAGGAAAATTCCTCTGGAAAACTACTTGAACTCAGTTCAGTCCACACTACCTCAGTACCTACCCAACCCCTAGATAATGCAGAGAATCAGATGACTGTATACCCCACCTCTAAATCACCATGGAACATTTCTCTAAAAACAACAGAAGGGGACATTTTAAAAAATCACAAGGACAGCACAAAGCTGTCCTCAGAAAGCAAGGCAGAAGACTATGGACAACCAGAGGCTATAGATGGTGTCAGTGACACATATGGAAGCGTTTCCAAAGAACGCACAAGCAATTCGTTACCCAAAGTAAACAATACTGATAGGTCTGTTACTGTTACCAAATCTGTTGTGCTTGACTCAGTGGTAGAACTTTCAAAACATTCAGTACAGCAAAGCCACACTGCGGATTCATCTGAAGAAGGTGCAGCCGCTTCATCCTCCAGGGAAAAT